CATTGTGGTGGTGTATAGAGCCAAAGATGTTAGAATTGTGTCGATGTCCCAATATTTCTGGACCTGACTGTATCACTAAAACTGTGGAGTACCACACTGATATACAACATTTTGCATAGAATAACAGAAAGGATAGTGAAGATAACAGAGCATAAAAAAGAAAAATATGGAGTGGACCCTCAGATGATAAAGTTTTACATATATATAATCTTTCCAGATGTGGCCACACATACTCAAGCCTATGTCTACAAAATGGAGTCAAGTGTAATATACCATTCCCTCCTGTGTTACTTAAGAAATGAGTGCAAGGGGTGAGGCCAGTAGCACAGCACCACTATTCCTCTCATTCTTATAGTTACTTTGTGTCAGTAACACAGGAAGCATGGTTGTCTTACATGTAGTTCCATGCTATAGGCAATTGAGCAAGGGAGGTGAGTGCAGTGAGGTCTCCTTTTGGCAAGTAAGTGGGTTGCTTATTGCATTTTCAAGTTCTTCCAGGTGCATATCCACTTCAGCAAAACTATTGTTTTGTCTCTTGGACTACCAGCCGACTTTGAGTCTATCTAGCCTAGCATTTCCCCCCACAACTGACCCTTCATCTATTATTTCAGGGTAGGTGCTATAACTTTTTCCAAAGTACAGAAATAATGCCTAGATTGCTGAGTGCCCCACTCTAGGACTGGAACACCATAGCAAACTCTTTCAGGTTCTTCTCATTCTCCAGGGAGAAAGAGCCCATAGTACTAGATGAAAAAAAGGCAAGCAGTTCTATTTCAGCCCCTTCTTTCTACCATCTTCTTTTGAAAGCCATGTTGCCCTGACCGTAATTCCTTTTGTAAATAATAAGAAATGGCTTAAAAGCCTGGCACAACGAGTCACAGTTTATCTGCATACTAAGAAGAACTGGCTTTTACCATGACCAATAGCTTTGATCTCCACAGTCTTAGGGATCTTCTCCTCACGGTTCCAGCCTGAAGACTTGCGGCTTACTTGGGATTTGAATAGGGTGTTTACAAGTGTTGATTTTCCAAGTCCACTTTGGCCTAGAAAAAAAAATACAAACAATATAAAATTGGCAATTGGCTGCAATGTTAATTATTAATGTATTTTATTGCTTATTACTACTGTTTTGACTATGAAATCCTCCCAGAGAGCTCTTACTGATGGCCCTTTTTTTCACTTGCTGGTTCTATTGGTACTAGAATACCCCACCAATCCCAGTGTTCCCCCTTGATCACACAACATAGGCCATATCTTGTCTCAGCCTGAGTTAAAATAGTAATAATCTTATACCAAATCCTTCCTGTAACAACAGATTTTTCCTGCTTAGGCCAGTCAGGTCAACAAAAACACGAGGAAAGAAACTATGACTCTTACTACAGTGTATGATTTGGGGTATATCCAGGGCATGTGGGAAGATGTAGTTACACACCTCACTTAAGTTACTGGCCAACTGGATATATCAACCATTAATCAGATGTTGACCAACTACCAGTCTGAAATATATGAAAACAATAATTTGGTTATCAAGGCACTAAGAACATAAGAGGGTGCATAATCTAGACAACTCATTTTATGGCAGCATCTCTTTTTAACTGTCATAGTAAAACCTGAGTGGTGTAATAAACTGCTAGTGAAAAAAGAACCATTGGGTGGATTAAAAACATAATAAACCAATAGTGGCAGCCTTTCTCAATTTAGTACCTTCCAGACATGCTGGAATCAGAACTGCCATTGCCCATGCTGGCTGTGGAGTTTGGGAGTTGTAAGGCCCGTTTGCACCTCCTCCTTGCCTGGTGTGGGAATGCCCACCCTCCCTTTGCTGTTTCTTGATGACAGAAACAGATAACTTTGTCTTCAACCAGCCCACTGTAAAGGCAACTATACCTCAAAAGTTATGTTTTGTTGCTTATGCCTTCACAAGTGGTGTTGAGCTGTCTGCGTGCAGCATGACATTCATCGTAGGCAAATGCCTCTGCTCTAGCTGACTACTGTGCACTGTGGTGGGAACGCTCCTTTCCTGCTCACTGATACCCATGACCATGTTGGCCTGGCTGCCAGGCTGCCTGCCCCCTATTCTGAAAGGATCTCCCCTGGTGGACTGGTAAAATGCTGGACCTTTTTAAAAAAAAATAAAACAAAACAAAAGGTTAACTAATGGACAAAGTCTGGGGGTGGTCTGTTTCTGTGTGTTTATTTTTTACAATTTTATCTGTGGAGTCATGAAATGGTAGATTGTTTTCTTTTCCTTAACCAGGTGAAATTGACAAATGTTCTGCCAGGTTCCTCTTCTGTCACAAGTATCAGGAAAAATAGTAAATTCTTCTTTTTCTTTTTTTCTCTATCCACTGGTAGACGTGCTAGATGGGGAAGTGTCAAACACAAGAAGGAATCAATGGAGGCAGCTCATGCAAACACCACATGTCCTTAAAAAAGAAAAGATGTTTGTTTTCCTGGCATGGGTAGCAGGGGTAAAAAAGCAAGGGAATCCATCAATCAGGGTCTGTGGTTACTGCCCTCTAGGCAGAATGCCTGGCCAGCATTTTTCATTTCCAGCTGGTTTATGCAGAGAAGCAAGCAGTTTAAAGCTGTCATGTGGAAGCAGCCATAGTGTGGAGGACAGTCATCCAGGCAGAGGCTGGTTTAACCTTGATTATTGATTGCCATGAGAGAAAATGCTAGATCAAAAGAAAGAACTATTTAGGATGGGATACCTATTTCATATAGCAGCAATCAGGAGCAGAAGTAGAGTCGCAAAGAAATGAAGGCATGCTTGTAGGAAATGCTGCAAGGCAACCTCAGAGTATCTAGGTGAAGTCTCTCCCATCCCAAGCCCGTGTCCCAGTCTTTCCTACCTACAACCATGATGTTGAAGTCGAATCCAGTTTTCATGGTCTTCTTCCGCATTTGCTCTATGATAGTATCAATCCCAATGTAACCCAGTAGGTTGGAGTTAATACTGACAGGTTTCATTGGCACTACTGGTTTTTGCCGTGGCTCTGGTACCAGCTCAGACATAACTGCTTCAGACTTGGTATCTGCTGAGCCTGCAAATGGAAGGAAAATAAAAAATAAATTATATGCCACAAGCAAGATGAATATAAGCATTGGTTCTCAGGGTTGATATTCATGACCAGTTTGCCCTGGCATGAGTATGGGCCACTGACCATTTTTTGCAGGAACACACAACATTGTCCTCTGTCTGCCCCAGACCATCAGGAAGGCTACCTCCACCTGTCTTTTTTCTGCTATGCATTAAGGGGCAGTTCACCTGTGCACTTGTTTTTACTGTGGCAAATGCCCTCACCCTGATGAGTTCCTGTGCACTCTGGCAAGTACAGCCCCGCCCCTCCAGTCACTGATTGCTGCCCTCCACCATCATTATTTTTTTAGTACATTCACTAGTAGAATGGTGAAAAGGGGGCCTTTTTTTAAAAAAAATCATTGATGGAAGAGTGAAATAACAAACCTTTTTGTCCCCTACCATGAGGTCCATTGCTGGAAAGTGGAACTGTGAAATGAGGAACTTGTCCATTTTGTTTTTAAACCTAACACTAACCCTAACCCCTTTCTCCTTCTAGTTTAGGAAAAATGATAAAATCAGTCTTCCTCCCTTCCCTCCTCTTTTTCTGATCCAGGAAGGGTAAATAAGAAGAGGAATCTGCTACATGGGAAATGTGGTCCAAACAGAATAGGCCATCATCATGGCCAAGACAGAAGGAACAGTTAAAACTGGAAAGGGGTTTCATAAACCAGCTTCCTTTCCAGCCATGAGTCCAGAAACTTAAGGCTGCAATATGGAAAAATGGATAAAGATTCAAGTGAATAAACAACCCAAACCCACAGACCCCAAAGAGACCAACCTCCTCCTCATCAAACCATAATGGTGCTGTATAAAGAAAAAAAATCAGTCCCTAGCAGATACACAGGCGTTTTTTGTTTGTTTGAAAGGGAAAAGAGCTCACTTGCTGGATTTTTGTAATGTACCTATCTTCAACTTAATAAAGTTTGCTGATGAGATCTCTGTGAATTCATGCTTGGGGAAAAGGTTTTATGTTTGGTTCAGGCACCTGTGAATGACTGCCATTAAATTATTAAATCTGCTTCTGTTTTACAGTAAAATAGAATAACTCCTCTCATCAAAGACCCTTTTCTCTTTATCAGATGGACTTGGGCTCTTCTTAGTGGAAAAACAGTTCAGCTTAAGGGCTAGTTCACAGAACACACAGTGGCTGGCCCTGGCAAGGAGCAGAATGAAAAACACCAACTGTCAGGCTCCATCCAAATAGTGGGACCGATGAAGGCATGACCTGGTGAGTAAGTGGTACAGCAAATTTAACCCTAGCAAGGGTGCTATTTGAACTTCACTACAGATAGCAAGATATCATGGTCAAGTACCATTTAGTGAAAAGAAAAAAATAGTATGAAACATGCTATATAAAAAGAAAGACATATCAATTTCAAATACCATGGTGGCAACAGCACTCTGTAATGAAACTTCTACAATACACACAATGTCAGTTTTAGGCATTTTCACACTTGAAACAAAATGTTAGCACAGCATCTCTACTCTTTTCTGTAGAGTAGAGCAGTTAAACAAAAACAGCAAAAACAGAGATGGAGGTTGGAGGCCAGAATATAGCATGATCAGTCAAATTCTTTGAAAGTCACTAAGATTTGCTTGATTGGATCAGCTTAAAAGCACACATAATAAATAAAACATTTCAAGAAATATCAGTCATGGTATCAAACCTTTTTTGCACTTGTCACCAAGTAAACACATCAACCCACAGGCCTGTGGGGGCCAACAACATAGGAAGGGGCCCAGCTGAAAGCTCTCTCTTGAGGCCCCCTTCAAAACCAGTCCTGCCACATCTGAAGACAACTTGATACATTTTAAAACATTATTTGCTCACTACTACTACTACTACTACTACTACTACTACTATTGTACTATTAAAAAGAATTCTTTGGATTGATCAGCTACCTCTATCTGGTCCTCTCAGACTGTTTGGATTAAAATGACCATGCTATTTTCCAATGTGTTGTTCCATGCTGGGAATTATGGGAGTTGCAGTCCAATGTATCTGAGGGACTCGTAGAGATCCAAAGCATGATCTAAACTTAATTTATCTTTCATTGACAGGAACATCCTCCTCCACCTTCAAATAATTCTTTTTCCTTAATGTTTCCAACTACCATTTCCACTGAATCTCCAGCCATGCTTCAATAGATGGGTACTGCTGCTTAAGACCTAAGTCAGACTTTGCTCTTCTATAGAAAGGAATCCGCAGACTGTAAATTGAAGCTGTGGGAGCCAAACTGAGCTGGCCAAACAGAACTGGCAGTCTGTTATTTACTATTTCACAATGAGTTTGGGATGTGATTTTTGTGTTGCCAGAGTATCCTCTGGCGCTTCTGTTGTCTTTTTCTTTCTTTTTCAGAATCTGAAAAAAAAATTAAAAACTTATCTCTTACTTTTTCTAACCAGAACACCAGGGGCATCCACAGAGTTGGGGCTGGGTGGGGTAGGATCAAAAAATAGATGGCAGTTTTCATTGACCATGCTGACATCTTGCTTTATTGACTCCCTCCCCCTGCCCTCACAGCTCAGTTCTTGGAATTATACCATGCCATAGGCTTGTCTTGCATAGGCATAATATATTTAAATATTTCCAGAGGAAATGTACCATTTCCGGAGCAGAATACGTATTCAGTTCAGCTTCTCCAAACCCTTGGAAGCCGCACCGTGCTAGGGCACATTGGAGTTGGTGCCAAACTTAAATTAGTGTAACACCCACATGTAGGGTTGCACGGGAGTTTGTTGTGCAAAAAGGAATTCAAACCACATGTATCCTTCCTTAGTAATAGTAGTAGTTTCAGTAACCTCCTTAAGCTTCAGACACTAAACAAATTTTAAAAACCTAGGAGGACTACAGCTATAAGTTTAAATCTTTATAAAACATTTCCTAGTGTATTGATGAATTCTGTGATCTAAGTATTAAATTAGTTGGCAACAAAATTTTAGTTAAGTATAAAAAACCACTATTATACCATAATATGACCACAGAACATATATTTATGGTTATCTTATGTATTTCCCATAGCTTTTGGCTTTTAAAAAAAAATTGCTACACAGTAAGCTCTATATCTATCTATCAATCAATCAATCAATCAATCATCTATTGCCTCACACATACATGAAAAGCATTCTTCTCTCCCCCTTGGCTTGTAGCTCCAGATGATAGGACATAGACAATATACCATTTTTCTTGAAGTGTGAGGAAATCTTCACACACAGGAACTCAAAAGGAAATTGAACATATCCTGGGAACCAAACTTTTGTTACTGAATTTGGTTCCCTGTGGTTTTCTAATTATTAGTTTTTAAAAACTCTATCCCAGGCAATTAAAGACTTACAAGATAACAGAGGTTTCCAAAAGTACTTCCAAACAGCTCCCCTTGTTACCAATCAAAGCATATTATGAAGTTATTCTGTCTTTCTCCTCTTTCCCACTTCCATTTTCCCCTCTCTCCTTTCCCTTCTAAATGACTATTTCATGTCTGAGGAAAGAAAATACTCACACCAGGGTAAGCCAATTCTGTAACAGAAACTATAATCTAGAAGCAGTCCAGAACTGTGAAAATATTTTTTTAATTTCTGTGCAATACAAAAAACATTTAGCTTTTAGAAGAAACTCTTCTCAGGTAAGTCATAGTCCCATTTTCATGGAAATTTAAGAGAAACTGATAAATTTAAGTCACCATTAAATCCCAAACGCTCAGAACTAGGGCATCAAAGCTATGTTTGCCTCATCCTTGGAACATATAAAGACAATTGAAGAAATGTTCCTGAGCTTTGCAGTATCTTTTATGTTGTGAGTAATCCCTTCACATGGCTTCTAAGAGGATCTGAACACTGATTTTTTATTTTCAAAATATTAAATAAATTACTGTGGAGTCTTATACATACCATTGTGAAAGTAAGTCCTGTGAAATACAGGGGTTCACTCCCAGAGATATGGGTAACAGATGGCAGCCTCTGTCTTATCCCATTCCAGCTTCTGGAGCTGGAGCTGATTCTGCCAACAGTTACTCTCCTTTTTCCATATTATATTCAAGCTATATAGAAATACAGGGAAGAACATGTACCATAGTTCTGTGAATTAATGCTTTGTATGCAGCAATTTGCATGGTTCATTCTCTGCATTTCCACATAAATGGGAAAAATCCCACCTTGCTAGCTGCTCTGGAGAGCTCGTATTGGTATATGATTTGTGTATACCAATATATTTGTGTATACCAGTATACAATGAGCTTGATGCACTGACTAGGATCAGTTTGCTGATTAGCGTAAGACAGTTTCCTGTGTTCCCATGAAAGACAGTAGGATACATTTTCTTGGACTGCCTATGATGGTGTAAATCAAAAGTGTGGTTTTTTCCCACCATCTTTCAAATTACCACAAAATATCTGCAACTGCTCATTAATATCAGTCATTTCTTTCTTCAGCCTTCCCTAATCTGGTGTATTCTCCAGATATACAGCTCTACAACTTCCATCATTCCTGGCCAGAAGAACCACCATGAATGGAGAGGATGGGAAGTATTAGTTGAACTGACTTGGATGGCTTTAGTCTTGGAAAAACTGCCTTAGTCTGTCAGTTCTTTATGTATTTCCTTTATATTTTGTTCATCTATTATCTCTCCCATTCTTTCTCCTCTGCTAATTTATGGACCTTCTGTTCCTGTTATCCAACCCCGACACCATCACACCCCTTCTTTTCCTTTCCTGTGGTCCAGAGTTGTTTCCACTGTCCATCATTCTAAGTCACACCAGTCCTAATAAATCTGCCATCCACAATTACCCACTGAAGTGCCATAGAACAAAACATTTTGCCATGCTCAAGATCCCCCGTGACCATCCCACAAGCCCTGTTCCAGGCTCAGTACCTGAGGATTCTTATGTAGGTTCAAATATTAGCTGCAGTTGCAAGCTGGTGGCTCACACCCCTGGGCCAACTGGGATGAATGCCTTCCTTCACAAAAGCCTCAGTGTCTAACGCACAGCAGCAGCAGGAGGGTGCTCCTGCTTCCCTCTTGATACCAGATGGAAAAGATGAATAAGAAGTGTAGCTTCTTCTTTTGGCAGGCTTCCCCTGGGAGCCTTGGATTAAAGCAACGGCCAGTCTCCATTGCAAACCCAAATGCACGGCTGAGCTGAGAGTGCTTGCAAGAGCACAGCATCCCTTCCTGCATCTCTGAGCTGAGCCAGATCCAGAAAGAGCATGCAAACTGCTGCAGGAACCACCTACCTTTGAACATGAATCTTTCTTTGTCTCTGGCTGTGAACCTTCGGGTGGGGTTTCTCCTGACTTTTTCCTGCCCCACAGGCTGCCTATGAGATCCTGGTTGTCTTTGTTTTTCTGTAAGTGCCTATACCCCCCTTTCTTTTCTTCTCCAATGAATATTTCAGATAAGCAGAGATGCTGCTGCTACTGCTGCTACCACGATCACGTGACCTGAATATTAAACATCGCTGCAAAGTCTCCCCCACACTCTGCCTCCCTCTCTTCCCAGGATCAGAGCTCTATCATTCAAGCATCTGGGAGACCTTGACTGGATTGATGGGCATTAAATTGTGTACTGGCTCCTGAAGGGAGGTGCTGCTGGGATACAAGGGTTAGAAGTAGCCTGGAACATGTCCCCTCCCCATTGCATATATAAATGCTTCCTTCTCTGCCTGGTCTCACCACCCTCCTTCCTTCTCTCTGTTCCCAGGCAGCATTCATATGGCTTTGTTTGCTGAGCATCTCTAGAGGCAGACACTAGTTAATGTAAGAGGATTATTAACCCCTTCATCAATCACAACGATCACACAGAAAGAAAAGAGGAAATAGATTTCGCACCTAAGTGTTCAGGGATTTTCGTCTTAGCACTTGCTTTCAAACAGGTTATGATAAATGTATCATTTTGCTTTCATTTAAACCTTCATTGTCACAAGGTTCTGGCAACAACAAGAAGTAATAAGGTACTGTATGGTGAGACATGGAGTATCTGTCAGCAATGAACTACATGTCAACAATGATGCAGGCATGGAGAAATCTGCCTTTGTGTCAATCTGAATGGTGCATGCTGATGTATCTCCATGTGCCTATAGGCATCTACATCCTGTATGTGTGTCTGCACATTTGTCATGATAAGCATAAGTGCCTTGGAAAAGAACGTTTCCATCTCTTTAATTCTCCAAGACATCTGGTATCTACACTTGCTTTGCCAGATATGCAGAGACACACACTATCTGCGATGAGAAACTTTGTGATCCAAGATAAATTCTACATAACACATATATACTGCTTCATGTGATCTTTATATATGTGTGAATTTCATTCCAGGTACCAGGCTGAGCAGGCATGACCTTATGGTAAATATGTTAATATACTTATTTGCAATTCTCACATATGATGTCTGATGCCCATGGGCAATATTTCTTAATGTACAAAATATTCTGGGTGCTAAAGGAAAGACTAGGAAGTAATATAACTGAACAAGATGTTTACACAATAATTCCCTATTTAGCTGGAATGAACCATATTCACTGAATTCATTATTTCCTCATTTAATATTTGGAGAACAAGAGTTCAGAATGGAGATGGATATAATTTGGAGTCAGGACTGTGGATATTATGTGCATTGAACAGGAATGCTTGGCTACAGAGAAACTGTGTATCTGACTGTTAAGTAGAGTGCATGTCAGCATGCAACAGCTCTTAGGTTCACCTGTTTGAATTCCTACCTAGAATGGAAAAGAGACCTCCTGGAGACTGTGGTGTTGAAAAACAACTACCAGTCAGCATAGCACAATTTTCTTCAACCAGGTTCCATCAGATACCACTCCTAGAATTCCTAGATAATGTTCTCCATATTATTTGAGAAATCTGGAATATATATGGAGAAGAACAAGTAGAACAAAGCTGCTGTAGACAAGATTGAGTTAGATGGACCAATTTTTTTAAAAATTTTTTTATATCAGGCAGGTTCTACTAGCTCCACTATACTGCCTAACTAGGACAATGAACAAATGTTCATAGATGTATTATGATCCTTCCTTCACTTGGCTCAGGCTCTCATATTGTGTTCACAGACAACTGGAGAAATGTCTATTCTGCTCCTAGCCACGAGTCTCTCAGAAATGGCTATTGTCACTTAACGGTACCACACATATACTTTGACAGTCTAGCCACTAAAGCCACCTTCAGTTGAAATGATATTGAGTAGCATAAAAGTATCAGGTAAGACAAGGAACCAGTCTGATGTGAGTGTAGTAGTTAAATGATTGATTTGCTGCAATGTGATTAATTGCTTTGTTTGGTCTGCATATGAATTTGAATAGCCTTCCTATATTTACTGAAATTCTGGGAGTTGCAGTTCAATATATTTGGAGGGCACACAGTTGGAGAATGCTAACTTACAGGCTACACTACTTAATGCTTATTTTTTGTATCACTTTTGTCTTGTTTTCTCTATTCTTATAATGCTATGTTCTTATATTGTCTGTCCTTTTCTATATAGAGGTTTATATTTCCATGGACTCTTGAATATTTGGAAAGAAGATAGTTACAAATCTTTTAAACAATAAACTATTAAAGATGTATCTACTTTATAAAGATGATGGCACTGCCCTTGAATTTCAATCTGGGAGTGTTTGAAGCTGCTTGTAGATCCTTGTTGGATCAGTTGCTTGCCTCTAGACTACCAGTCCTACTAGCAGGACAGAAGAGATCTCTAGAGAGTAATGTATAGTCAAAGCAAGGAATACAGATTCATATAGACCAATAATTGGTACTTAACATGTCTACTGAGGTTTCTGTAATGTTAGTTGTCCTCAACTAGGTGTCCTCCAGATGCTTTTCCCAGACTACTGCCAAAAGCCATGCTAGTTAAAAATTCTAGGAGTTGAAATCTAAGAATACCAAACTGGTGAAGAGAATCAGGGATGAACAACCTGGAGGCCTCATGTATCCCAAGCCCTGTTTTTGGGTCCCTGGAGGACTCCCAACTGCACCACTGAAATTTAAAGGCAACTCTTGCCAATTTTGATTACAGATTTTATTAAACAAGGGACTAAAATAGTTGTGTTAAGTCTTGTCTACCTGTTAAACTCTTTAATCCTCTGTTCCATGAAGAAAAAAGAAAAAAAGAAAAACCAGTTCATTGATGCCACTGTATCACCATCATGCCACCTCTTTGACTTTTTTTTTTTACATGCATACTCCCACCCCCCAAGTTGCCTTTTCTGGGTGGTTCTATGTATAGACAGAATAATGTGAGGGAAAAAAAACCTAATGACACAGATAACTCTCGTTTGGGAACTGGAACTGATTTTATATTTCTGCAGAGCCACTGGTCTCAGATAATAAAACAATGTTCAGCCAGAATACAGTTTCATGGAACATGCAATCCATGTTATGCCATTTATTAAATGAGAGGCTACTATCAATGATCCCCTATATGTACAACAATATATAGCAGCACTTACCACTTTGGGACTTTGCCATAACACGGTGGTCCACACCAGCTTGCTCTTCAGGACACTCCTGAGGAAAGGAAGGGAGTATCTTTACAGATCCTGCTAAGCCCTGGAGTGCAATGCCTGGAATGCCATTTCTGTCCATGGAAACCAGGGCTTTGTGTACAGCTTCTGGCAGGATAGAATTCATAGGATCCTTTCCCATGGTTTGAGCATGTGCCTGAGGAAGGTGTGATGGAAAGCTATCAAAGCCTATTTTTTTCTCTGAATCTGGTGTTTCTGTCTCTGAAATCTGGATTGCATCTTCAAGGCAGGAGTTGGTTTGTGAATCAGGAATGAACTCATCTGTACTCTCTGGCAAGGTTTGTGGACATGACAAAGGCTGGTTTCTGAACCTCCCTGGGGTTTCCTCTCTTGAGGGTATCTTCTGGAATTCTCTTCTTGCCATGGGATGCCAAATGAGTCGCCGGCTGGTTGGAGGACTGCTGTTGCTTTGATGAAAGGTAAAAGAAATGGAGCTGAGTTTCTGCGGTTCCAAACCATTGGCTCCTGTCTGCTGAAGTGACTGGGATCTGGTGGGAAGAGGACATGATGCCAGAACGTCATGGGTCCATGGAGATTTGGGAGGAATAAGCCTGGAAGCAGGTCTGGGAATTCCTTTGCCCTTCGCCAAAAGACTCTGTTTGGGGGAGCCCTGCATGAATGAGGAGTCCTTTTTCAAGCTAGGGCTAACAGACCCTAAACCCCCAGTCCCAGGTGAACAAACTGAACATCCCGGGATGCGGCTGTAATGAGATGAGGCACCTAAGATTGGAATGCACCTTCGGATCCTGCGTGGGGAGGGAGCAAAACCTTTATCCATCATGATTGGTGGTTCCCTTTGTTTTTCCTAATGAAATAAAAGCAAGTGAAAGATTAAAGAACAGCACCAAAAAGAGACAACAGAGCCCTGACCCATGTCCTTTGTTCTGCCAGTTGAGGTACTCGCCCCGGCCATTGTGCTTTGAGAGAAATTGGGACATTGCTTTTCCTCAGTATGCTATGAGCCTCTGTACCATATGCAGGAATAAACCCGAGAAGCTTTTTTTCGAAGCTATAGGTATAGTCCTTTATGCTCTATACATAACCATGGCAATGGCAAGAATGGCTTTTAAAAAGCTAAAGGTGTTAAGGACACAGCTTCCACACTTGGCATTTTTCCCCTTTGGAAAAACCATTACTGTAGTGCAACTGCTAATTTTATGAAAAAATTCTGTTCAGTCATAGTAGGGTATGAGGACTAAGGATTTTGAGTCCCAGAGAACATTGGTCTCACAGATCAGCTATTTCTACTGGAAGAAAGCTTTGATCAGAGGAAAAGCTCCAGTTCTACCATTACAAGTAGCAAGTACAAGGGTCTGGCAATCCAGAATGGAAATTTAATCCCCTGCCAAGCTCTCAGTTTAATTGTAACACCCCTTTGACCTTTAATTATAACCAACCAAAGTATATATTACAGTTGAGCTACTTACATGGAATGTTTAATATAATTAACTTTCTTGTAAAAGAATTTTAACTGGCATGCAGGAAAGGGGGTCTAAGTCTTTCTCCTACCTGAAGTCCCTTTCCAGATCTCTTCCTCATCCAGTTGCTATTAGACCCAGAAGGGTCTTTCTGCAGAAGTGACCAGGCCTTACCTCAGTTCATACTGTTGCAGCCTGCAGTTACTGTTGCTGCTGTGAAAAAAAAAAAGATAATAATTTGGGAGCACCCACATAATACGATGTTTGGTTCTAAGACCAGAATAATCAGAACTGTCTTTGTGCAAAGGTGGGCAACCAGGTTTTCAGCATTTATTTGTTTTTGCTGGACC